TTTTTGTTTGTTTTGTTTTGTTTTGTTTTGTTTTGTTTTTGTTTTGTTTTGTTTTGTTTTGTTTTGTTTTGTTTTGTTTTGTTTTGTTTTGTTTTGTTTTGTTTTGTTTTGTTTTGTTTTGTTTTGTTTTGTTTTGTTTTGTTTCGTTTTGTTTTGATCAGTACGCAAATCACGTCATTACGTAGATATTTCACGAGATCTGCCTCCATACGTACTGTATATGTTCTAAATGGTATCAGGTTAGAAATTCATGATAGCTCTATGGGCGTCATACCGAATTCTGCTATATTGCTTGCCAATCTACAATAATTTACAAAAATGCCGCCCGACATTTAACTTAAGGTTCTTTCGTAGACTCTGTATAACTATGACAACCTATGCGATTAAAAAAATCAATTCCCTCGTCAGCCAGGGTCACCGTGTGCAACAGATGTCAAAATCGATGTACATGCATAATTTAGGAGGAGAGGAAAAAGGACTTGTGACCATAAATACATTACGCCATGCATATTACATTACGATTTAAGGTTGAGTCAGTCCAGAAGTATTTCGATGACAATGACAGGCGGTAGTCTCAGGCGTGTATCCGGGTGGTTATGTCGGTATTACGGGTCATCAGTCTGACCTTCGCATATCGTCGCTCATATTTGTCTGCTAGGTTTAGTGTAAAGAGATCTTAAGTAGTTACCATATGTTTAAAAATTAGGCATAGAGAAAGATGTTATGGTTGTTTTAATTCCCAGAAATTTGCTTTCTTAATCTCAAAATTGGAAATTTTGATATTGTGAATCTCATTGCAGAAGCAACTGTCATATGTTTTCCAAATTTTCCTACTAGATTCAGTCTCTTATGTATTACCAATAAACCTTCGTTATATGACGTGTGGTTATAAAAAATATTGAACATATAGATATACAAAAAGGGCCTGATCACATTTTATTTTAATGCATGCATAGTACATGTACATGTCTCTGTACACGTTCCTCTTTCCGAACATAAACATTCCCAGCATATGAAAGTGCAAAAGTTTTCTATTCATTTCCTGTGCAAAGGAGGCTTGTCACCAGCTTTAGTTGTCGTCTGTGCTATCGGCTTTGCAGTACGTTTTTTTTCATTCACGACTAAATAATACGGTCTTGGTACAATGTTTGCAATTTTTGTACTTCACAGCAAAAGAGAATCTGGCTCTGGTCGCTTGGGTATATTGCTGTGCCTTCTCGTCTTGGCATCATTGGGGAAAAGTGGTGAGTAGCTATAGAATATACTTCCACAACATGTAATTAAGATCATGTACAACAAGAATAAAGGCCCTGTGCAACATATCTAGTATAGAACATTTCATATTACGCTAGTTTTTTTTTTTTCATACAGAAAGCCAATACGTGTAAAACGAATCTTGACCACAGGAAGGTGTGCCACCCATATATTCTTTTCCTAATGTATTTAAAGTAATGCAAAAATATATTTAAGCGCAACAAAAGCATAGAAAATAAATCTTAAACCGGTTTCAAAACGAATTAAAAATCTTAAGTTGCTTATTCGTCGATTTCAGATCAAGAATGCTCCGCTCCAACATGCGCCGACTGTCTCCGCCAAGGTCCGACATGCGGGTGGTGTGCGGAGGAGGTGAGTCGTCTTCACCCGTATGTCGGTATGAGAGCCTCCCGCTGAACGACTAGTCTGGGAGCACACCGACATTTCTACCTTTCCCAGATCAGATCCTAACACTAACACATCTAGTAGACTGTTACACATTGTCACAAATGAGAGGACAGATTGTGGCCAAAAGCTAAATTGTTGACATTTTCTTTCGTCTGCTTCTTTACTCTGCAGAATTAACTTAATTTTCAAAGTTGATTTCCTAGCAATTTCATTGAATAGTGATACAAAACCATCCCATCATCTCGCATGGAAAAGTTAACTGTAGTACGTACCGAAGAACATTAGTAAATAAATGGTTTTCAGCATCATGGACAAAATAGGTCATGAATGCATGTATGGTTTTCAGTACCATGGACAGGATCATGAGCAATGCAGTAGCCACTGGTAGATATACATAGAGGTTTCGTCATTGTTTTAAAGCGTCCTTTTCGTGAAGACGTTTTGATCAAACAAATCCACATCGACTGAACCAAACTTTGTTGATCTGAAAGAGATGCCTACAATAATAATTCACTTTTTCATGAAAACTTATGCCTACATCCGTTTCTTTGATACAATTCTCCATCATCTTTCAGGGTTACCAAGGACCACGCTGTGACCTCGTCACTACACATAAGAAGAACGCTTGTCTGTCAACCAAGATACAGAATCCAACCACAGAGGGACCAACAAAAACCAAGGCAACAGATTTTGGAACTATTGTCTTTTTGAGAGAAGTTTAGTTTATGTCATGGACTTAGACTGGATAAAAACAGAAGTAAAAATGAGCACATGCCAGGGTTTAGTCACTGTAACTTGGCACTGTACGTTTTCTATAAAGTTGATTTTGTCTTGTCTCAGGATCTGCCCCTGAGCTCAACAGCACAAAGTGGAGACAACATTATCCAGGTCAGGCCACAGGAGGTCGGCTTAAAAATGAGGAAAGGTACATCGAACATTATTTTGACACAACCGCAGCCTGCAATACTCAAAATTACATTTTCCATTATGTATATGATTGTCGTTATCCACCTCTAAATCACATATTGATCATGTCATTGTGTTACTATAGATATGACCACGCATGGACTGTTGCTAACCTGGCTATGTCATACTCTCTCCTTCTACCCCGGCAGGTGACACTGCTCAGCTGACCATGCAGGTTCGGCAGGTGGAAGACTACCCCCTGGACCTGTACTATCTCATGGACATGTCATTCAGTATGAAAGACGATGTTTCCAAACTGGTCGACATTAACTCAGAACTAAGTAAGTACATAAAATAACATCAAAGATATGCTTCCTTTATGATTGTCTGTGTTTGGGATAACTTGTGTGGTAGGTGATGATGCCGTTGAGCCATATGTCCAGCATAATAATCAACGTTTTGCTTTTATTTTACTGACAGTTCGTGAGATGAAGAGTCTAACAAACAACTTCCGTGTTGGCCTGGGCATATTCTTAGACAAGACTGTGCTGCCAATGGTGAACACTAACAAGGATCGGTGAGGCATAGTTTCAGCATTGAAATGATCTTAGATTAGTAAGATGTTTACATCGATTTTTTAATACTGAGAAGGATTTAAATACCTTTCTCTTGCCACTAGCCTACAAGACCCCTGTCCCAACCCAGCCACACAGTGTGCTCCAGTTTTCGGTTTCCGCCATCTTCTGGACCTGACCGATGATGCAGACGCCTTGAGAAGAACGCTGCCAAACCCTGAGGACGTTTCTGCTAACAGAGACGTCACCGAGGGAGGCCTTGAGGCCCTTCTCCAGGTTGCCATATGCAAAGTAAGTCAACAGTCTTGAGAGATTGCACTACTGTGTACTTCTGAAACTAGGAGGTAACATTCACGAGCAAATTTCTCTTCCCATCAATATTGATGATAGGACATTATTATACCGGTTGTTGTCTGCTTTCTTCCAGGAAAAGATTGGCTGGCGTGACAAGGCCACCAAAATGGTGCTGTATGCCTCTGATGAGGGCTTCAAAATGGCAGGTGATGGGAGACTGGCTGCCATCTTACCCCCGAATGATGGGGCGTGCCATTTGAGTTCAGTAAATCGAGAGTACACGGCACTGAACAACCAGGTGATTGAATTGTTTAGCCTGGGTACCATCCTACTTGTATGCCGGGGCTCCCACACTCGCATCCCTAAGAAGTAGGGAAGCGAGTATGGGAGCCCCGGCATACAAGTAGGATGGTACCCAGGCTATGAATTGTTATCATATATACGAAAACAATCAGGTAACGAGCATGTGCAGAAATAACATGTCTTCTTACTTAGTTTTCACTCTTCAGAAATTGATGATAATTCGTCTTTCCCACAGGACTATCCATCAGTGGGACAACTTGTCAGGGTTTTGAGGGAACAGAAAATTCAACCCATTTTTGCCGTTACTGAGTTTCAGGCAAAAAATCAACTCAAGGTGTACAAGGTAAAGACTGTCTTGATAAAAAAAACATTTTTAGCATTTTAATGAAAGTCATGACGTAGGCAAAAGTCTTATCTTCTCTAATGTTATATATTCTTTATGTCATAAACTACTTTCTAAAAACCCATTCAACATCTTTTTCATTATCCCAAATATTCACCAGCTGAAAAAGCATTCTGGTTGAAGATATGATGTTAACCCACTTACCTAAGAACTTACTGACAATTTTTTCTACTGTACCTCCTCAGCAACTGTCAAACCAATTCGACAAGGCACGCTCAGCAGAGCTAGCTGATGACTCGTCCAATATTGTGGACCTGGTTACAAATGCATACAAGGTGAGATCACTTCTTCTAGGAATGCTAAGTATGCTTGCTTATATACAAAATCGTTGTAGGTGAAACTGACAACTTATTACCAATGTATTGATGTCTAAAATAGATTAATTTTTAATGTATTTTTTTGCTCCACCGATGTAGGAATTGAGGTCGGAAGTGAAGCTGCAGCCTGTCAACCTCCCACCGGAAGTTGACATCACTATAACACCTGTGTGTCCAAGTGGGACCGTAGAGGGGGAAAACTCATGCATGGACCTTCAAGTTGGAGACACAGTAAGACCACGTTTCATTGAATGTATCCTCAAAATTGTAATAAAAACAAATTGCCAGCTTCTTCATTCAAATAAAGTTAGTTGCAGGTTAACCCAGTCATCTTTTGTGGGGACAGTCCTATGGTCCAAAGATGATGTTATTTTTCACTGCTCCTTATACCCATTTATGGCCTTGTAAAGCTAAGGAGAAAGTTCCAAAAGAAAAATTCTGTTCCACTCATTCAGAACAAATTTTTTGCAGGCAGAGTTTGCCATCGACGTGAAAGTCAAAGACTGTCCAAGACAGGGCCAAAGCAACCTTGCCACATTTAGTCTGGACCCAGTGGGCTTTGGTGATGAACTCAAGGTCAACTTGGAATTCCTCTGTAGCTGTGAGTGTGAGGCATTGGCGGTAAGTTGCATGAGTATGTTATTTGTTGCACAAACACGTACGTTTTGGGGGGTGTCTCATCTAATCTGTAACATCAACATAAGTGGATAATTCGGTACTCAACAAAATATAATTCTTTAACGCTCAGAGCAATTACTGCAAAGTTAATAAGTTCTGCGGCTGATTGCAATCCATTAGGCTCTCTTACACTAAATTGTTCTTTTACAATGCCTTGTACGAGTAGTATTCAGGACTCCTCATACAATCTCGTAACAGAAAAGATTTGTCCTCTACTGTAGAGTGATAACATCCATATTTTTTCACCTTCATCAGGTGCAGGCAAGCCCCAAATGTTCCTCTGGAAACGGCACCCTGCAGTGTGGCATCTGTGTGTGTGACCAGGGCAGGTATGTGCAGGTTTATCATATTTACCTTGGGTTGATATAGGTTTTAAACTTCGAACTTGAGTTGAAAAATTATAGTCCTCAGAGTAAACATCCTGATTCTTTGTTTTTCACCTCCCCAGATATGGTTCAAAGTGTGAGTGTAGCGCTGACTCGATAGAAGGTGCTGTGGACGTGACTGCAAGCTGCAAGGCAAACAACAGCAACACGCTGTGCTCCGGGCGGGGCGTGTGCATCTGTGGACAGTGTTCCTGTAGCGACAGGCCGGACCCTAATGAGGAGGTGTACGGACAATTCTGCGAGTGTGATAACTTCTCTTGTGACCGCTACCAGGGGATGGTTTGTGGAGGTACATGTAGAAATTATCTTGCTGATGCGATTATCTGAAATTATAAGAATGAACATTTTATAACTAGCACACTTTTCATAACATTTTACGAATCAAGCTATCCGCGGATACTCTGCTAACATACAATAAAATCATGATTTCTGACAGGTCCGGATCGAGGTACGTGTGAGTGTGGCACGTGTCGCTGTAATGACGGCTGGAGTGGAAATGCCTGTCAGTGCTCCAAACGGGAGGACACGTGTAAGGCAGCGGATGGGGTGAGTCCTCCAAGTGTAAAACAAACGTTGTGTGGAAGATTGTATCCTCAGAGAAGCAGTATATACTGAGGAGTGAGGAACAATTTCTTTGGACGCATGTTTTCAGGGTGGCAGATATATACAGTACGACCTGACAGGATTATGGTAGAACATGCTAACATTTTACCACATTAATAGCTGTTTTAGATGTGCCTACCAATTCATTCATTTGACAGTATAACGCTTTATTGTGTTTATCCAGTATTGTAACCAAATTCAATGTTTTTAACAAATTCAATATTAAATTAGTCGTATGTGCCATCTGTGAGATTCAGCTGGCTGTCATCATTACAGTATGACCTGGTCCGTCCAGACAATAAGACTTGATTTGATTTGATTTTCTCTTCAGCGAATATGTAACGGCCAGGGCAAATGTGTCTGTGGGAGGTGCGAATGTTACAAGAGCAGTCCGTACTCCGGCCCAACCTGTGAAACTTGTCCGGTAAGTTCACATCCTGTTTTGCAAGACACAATGTGAGTGAGTGCAGTACATGTACCTCTTATGATATCCTGCATAGAGGCTCATTTATCGCGGCAAAATTCAATTCTTGGTATAGTCTAATAAGTTTTCGAGCTTGATAAAGCACGATGTTACACTAAGCACATTTTGTTTCCTGAACTTGAAGGCTTGTCCTGGGCAGTGTGCCCTCAACAAGGATTGTGTGCAGTGCCAAGCGTTCCAGTCAGGAGCGCTGTCACCCCCAGAATGCCAACGGAGATGTAACTTTAATTCCACAATAGTCGATACTTTCCCCGGTACGTGTTCAATTTTTCATGGTACACAACATTATAACATTATTAACATTAATTGCAACAATCAAATATGCTTCTTCATTTGTCAAACTGTCATTATGTCTGTCAGTGTAAACTTGGTAATGGCTTGTTCTCTCCAAAATACAATAATTTCAACACAGTGTTCAAAGTAATTTGCATAATAATTTTGAAACCTTCCTGGGCTCAATACTTGAAACTAAAAAAAACGACAATGATTTTTTCTACATCAGAAGGAAATAATATTGATACTAGTATTTGAAATTCTGAAGTGTTTCATTTGCACGATGAACAGATAGTACTCGTACTAGTGCAGACCTTACATTAGAGGATTATATTTCTGATTTCAGAGAGCAGCCCAATTCCCCAAGAGACATGCCGTTTTATTGACGACGACGATGGCTGCTTTTTCACCTTCAAGTACGGGAGGGGAGAAGACAACATGTTGGTGGTTACAGTACAGAGAGACAAAGGTGGGGCTTGTGCAATATTGTATTCGTTCTTTCTTTCTTTCTTTATTCTTTTTTTCAGGCATCCATGGCCGATATAAATAAAAGAAAACATACAAATAGACATATACATAATACCAACAGTTAAAGATATGACTATGAGTACAGACGGACCCAGGTATTGCGGAAGAATTCTATCAATTCGTTTCTCAAATTACTTTACAATATTAGTACGCTTCATAGAGCTTGACAAATGTGGGAAAGAGTTTACTTGGTATTTGATATCTTTTTTACAAGTGTTATTGCAATAACTCCTTAGTAAGTCAATTTGGGACTTTAATTTCAAACCTTGTATTCCCTGTTTCCTCCCTCCAGAATGTCCACAAGGTGCTCCTATCATTCCCATTGTGCTGGGCATCGTGGGGGGCATCGTTCTGATTGGTCTGATCCTTGTCATCATCTGGCGTGTGGCGATCCACATATACGACACAAAAGCGTTTATGGAGTTTGAGAAGGAAAGACAAAAAGTGCAATTCACTACAGTAAGTTGTTTTTTTTTACGTTACTTTTATTTGTGACAATTGTGAATTTTTTATTGTACTTTTGATGGATAAAAGATGAGGATACATACATTACCCCTTCTTATGTTCTTGTAGGATGTGAATCCTCTCTACGTAACCAACACCACCAAGTTCATCAACCCAACCTTCCACCAGGCACAGCCTGCTCATGAGGAATATGACTGATGGGATGGACTTAATTTTGTGAAGTGCCACCTAGTGACAAGAGTAGGAAGCGTCGGATCGCTTATCTTCTTTCCATACATCCATTTTGTCGGACAATAGTAACTTTAAACAGATGGAAATAATGTGGACTAGATAGCACTAATGTTCTTTTTTGTATTCTACCAAACTGATTATTAGCATAAAGTAAACTCTGTACCATATAACCAACCTGTTATATATTGAACATAATGACCATCCTAGAAGACTTTTCGTTGGCTAATTTATTACAATTGCAGTATGTTTGTTTTATATGTAACATTAGAGTGACAGTGCCATCTGGTGAAGTGGTGCCAAAAGCTTGTGTTACCACTACTGCTTCCTATGAGTGTGATATGGGATGCTGCTGGTCATTTCAGCCTGTTCGGCCAGGACAAGGCTACGGTTCAGGTCACAACAGAAGTCATTTGTAATGAGTCATAGATATGATTAAAGTAACAGCTTTGTAGCACGTATATGTAGAACAAAGATTTAGCTGTGTTAATGAGATATGACAATTAACTGTTTCTGTGCTGTCTGCATTTAACCAAGTTCATTTTAGATTCTATACGGATAGATGTATAATGTTATCTCTCTCTTTGGTTATACATACTAACGTTAGCATTATGTTTATCATCTAACTCATAAGTAGTGCCGATGTTACTGTTTTTTTTATTTTGTCATTTTTTCAATGTGTCACTTTTTAGTACTATTATTTACAGAAGTCAAATCATTCAGAAATAAATAAAATGAAAGTTTTGGAACTGCATCGATCACTGCGTCATCCTGATATATCATACCCAGCTGCATGGCGTTTTTAAACCAATAAAATTCATGCGGACAACAGAAAAGCATACAGACAGTAGGCCTAGGAATCTTAGCATACAGTTTTGACCGCCGTCAACACGTATTCAGCACCAAGGACAGGGGTAAGAATAGGACTAACAGTTTTCTTGAGTCATTCAGCACCAATTACAGGGATACAGATTTTGCTTGTTCGTTTCTGCTCAGTAAATATTGTTTGAATGTGAAAGTTCTAGAAGAAACAAGCTAGTTGTCCGCACGGCGCGGTTTAATAGTGACGTCTAACGGCTAAATAAGATAAACATGTACATTAGATTGACCCGCTCTAACCATGATACACGAACCGTGATTATCAAGCTGACACGTAGATTCTATTTCAATCAATCAATTAATGTCCCTTAATTTCCTGTAAAGATTTTTACTCTTTTATTCAGCCTATCCTGTATGCAAGACAAACTTTGTTGTAGTGAAAGGCTTTGTCGTTAAACGAGCCTCGTTAAGTTACAGAACGCCGAGCCGACACGGTTCAATAGAGACACTGTAGGGCTGATGGAAGTATCGTAAACGGAGCTCTTTCAAACTTCTTCATGGGGTTCCTGGTTACTCAAATAAAAATCATAGAGCAGAGTTGTAAGACCCTTGTAAGTTGTAATCGACTATCAGTCTAAAAGGCAATAGGCTTTCCTGTAACTTTCCTGTAATCGATTACTCTCCCTCGTTATATATAAGGCTTGGAGAAGCTTCCTGGGCTTTACCACCATCAGGCGCTCTTGTGATTAATGTGTCACAGTATACAAGTAAACGACTTGCGAGATGGAAATGCTTTGCTTGCAGTATCTAAGATAGCCGTAGGATGTCTCTTTTGAGCTCTGGGTCGCGCCAGATTTGAAATACGCGTAAGCGAATGGTAATACGTACGTGAGTGAACCGAGTTCGGCAGCAAATAAAATGCTTTGTAACTGCTTCAGAACCTGACATGAGGTAACTACCATCAGTACCTACCGGTTGGTAGACGCTCGTTAGAATGGGACTGAAAACCGGGATATAGAAGAGATCCATGGCCCTATAGTCCATCAGGATACACTAGAAACTAATACTCCTGCAATCAATTCATATGATCCGTAAGAATACTAGTATTTAAGGTGTACTCAGAGTCTCCATCCGCGCCAATTACACGAACATTTATAACGTTACACCACTCTTATGTCTCATCCAAAACATCCGATGACAGTGAAAGAGCAGGTTTATCGCTTGCAAATATATTGCCAAAAAATACCGTTGGAGGTTACCTATTGTATACCTTCCCACCTTATATTGACAATCCACAGACTCACGGAGGAACATGGACTTCATGAGGTCCATGACTAGAAGTTTTG